ACCTGTACAAATTGAAATGTGTGTGTATTTAGGCAAGTGAGTGTAAAAGTGTGTGTGTGTACACTTGAGCTGGGATGTGTATGTGTATGTTTTTGTGAATGAGTTGGAGAGTGTCTGTGTGCAAGTGATTTGGAGAACGTGCATATTGGAATGTTATAAGTATTAGTGCATTGCTATGTGTGTGTGGGCACACTGGGTGCAAGTGAGCAGTCATGAATGATTTCCACTAATACTTGTCTATTTGGCCTAAAGGCTAGTAAAGTCCTCCTTCTGCCTCACTCCTGATCACATGCTCCAAGTCACACGCAGAAATGGGCAGAACAGCTCAGCCCGGTAATTCCATCCTGACTCACACTAGGCCATTTCCAGCCAAGTTTATTAATTGCTCCTCCTTATGCTCACACAGCACTTTCCTTTCTAACACTTGTCACACCGCTGTCCTCTTTAGTCTATATAGTACTTTCCCTTTGCTAGGCTGTGAAATCCTTAAGGATGAGAAAGTGCATCCTTTATCTTTCTATCCCCAGAGTCTAATTTATTCAGGCACACAGTAGGCACTCAGCTGATGTTTGTTGAATAAACTAAAGGAAAAGTAGCAATTTTGTAGCTTACCAAAACATAAAGTGTCCAAAGCAAAGTCTCCTTTTTGCTTCCTGTACCTCTTGGAAACAACGGTAATAACAGTTACCATTTATTAAGAACCTACTATGTGTTAGGTACCATTCCAGGTACATTATGTGCAATGTTTTTAAAAGTCCCTAGAGTTTCAAAAATCCTAGGAGGTGAATATCATCAACTGCCTTCTACAGATGACAGAGGTCTCACTAAGGTCAAGTAACTTGCCACGTCACACAGCTGGAAAGTAGAGAGCTACAATCGGAACCAAAGCCTGTGCTCTGAACTCCTGCCCTCTGCAGCTTGCCATTCCCTGTCGCGCCCCATCCCCAGCTCTCTCTTTCCTGAACTACAGGAAAAGGCACTGCCCTTCCTGTGAGAAATAAAAGGGTTTAATCTGGTCAAAAGGAAACAGTGTTTCCTCTGGGCTCAAGGGGATTTGGCCAATCACAGGGAGGGAACCAAAAACAATATTATCCCAGAGATGCATCCAGTTTGGGTTCGCTCCAGCTCTGGATCCTGTGAGCTGGTTCCCAGGAGCACAGGAGGAACGATAATCGTTCAGTTGAGATTCAAGCTCATGGCAGATTGACGATAGAGCTCTCCCTTTCCTCAAATGTTTGCTGCCTTCTTTTCATCCCCAAGGATCCAGGCAGGATGCTTTCTACCCCAGGGGGAGCCACTTCCAAATTCTGCTCTGTTACTCGGTTGAAAACTTCAAACTCATTGAGAGTTTGAACTATTTCCAACTCTGTGATAGTTACTATGGCAGGTTTAAACAAAGAGGCAAGGAATTTCTATCTCTAGATTGCCTTGCACATGGTTGGTATTCTATTAATATTTTATTTGCTGATGCACCCCAATTGGCTGTTGACTCTTTGCAGGGCTCCATTCACAGATAAATCATGGCTGATCTTTCCAGGCTCCTCAGCTCTTTTCCCTTGGGTTTCTCATTGTCGTGGGTAACCCAGGGAGAAAGAAGCAGCTCAGAGGAGCCTCTCCTACATGGACGACTGGGGTATCCAAGGGAGGTCTTTGAGCTTGTTTTCTTCCTGCCTGATTTTCTATGCTTTTTAATTTGGAGGACTCATCCACAGTCTTTTTATTTAGCATTTTGGGACTGAACAGCAACTCCCAGGCAGCCTTCAGCTCTGGAAATTAGGCAGAAATAAAGATGGGGGGTTATGGATTTTGGGGAAGTCAGTGATTTCAGGGCTCCAGGAGGGTACCCTACTTCCGAAACCACTGCCCCTGTCTGCTGGATCTTAGCATCATTCCCTAAGCTTTAGGCTTAGATCTCTACTTTAGATATACTCTTCATCACCTCTCCCATTTCATATTATTTACACCTATGTGTTGGGGCTTGGGCAAGTTTTAACAACAAAAAAAACTTATAGAAGGGAAACTGCAGGGTTTATGCAACTTGTGGGGAAGGAGAGAGTGAATTTGGTGAAATCTAAAGTCACTAAATGTCACTCACTGGGGAGACACTGAGTCCTGCAGACAGATCCTTCAACATCTACCGGCAGTTAAGAACATGGTCCTAAAGCCAAACTGGCTGAATTCAAGTGTTGACTCTCTTACCTACTGGCTGTATGACCTTGGGCAGGTTAGCTAACTTCTCTGAGCCTTAGTTTACTCCTGTGTAAATTAGTGATGGTAATAATTCCTACCTTATAGGGTTGCTGTGAGGATTCAATGAAGCAATATATGTAGAAAACTAAGAATGGTACATGACACAAAGTAAAGCACTCACTAAAATGAACTACTATTAATATTTGGTTCTAAAGTTCTGTCCTACCTGGTTTATCAAACTCTCTCAAGTAAATCCTCTGGGATTTAGCGTTAGAGATGTCGGCTTTCAGAAAGTTAGGGCTGGGAGGAACCTTAGAGATGATCTAAACAAAACGCCTCTTTTGAGGATGAGGAAAGGTAGGTCCAAAGTCACAGAGTGAGTCACTGAGGCATCAGAAAACAGTGTCCAGCCTGTTGCCCAGAACACGTTTCTTCTCACAAAGCTGCTCATCATTGGCCCGGAGGATGGATGGATCCAGGCGTGACTTTATGTCTCCCTGTCAAGCCATGTCCCCTTGAACAGCGGCACAGTTTCTGTAGGAGTCCCTCAGGTGACAAAGCAGGTTGTGTTCAAAGACCAGTGAGGTGGAGAAACTGCCCCAGCCACTAATCTCCTGGTTGGACTCGGTCAGGGGAGCTCAGCGGAGTCTGAGAGTCCTGGAGACCTGGGAGGAAAGGGGAGGCCTTGAGGGAATTCGATATTGAAGGAGGAACATGAAAATTCTTAAAGATGCAGATCAATGTCTTATTTTTTACGTCAAGGACTTGGGTAAATTTTTGTTGTGATGGTTCCTGCATTGCCGAGGCATGTTCTTAAGAAGAGCGATGCTCCCCAGCTAGTGTTTCCTTGTTGAAGGCCTCAGACATATTTAGAACAACACTGGGGAAACAGACTCCCTTTAAAAAAAGTGTAGGGGCCGGCCCCATGGCCTAGTGGTTGGGTTTGGCACACTCTGCTTCGGCAGCCCGGGTTCATGGGTTCAGATCCCGGGCACAGACATACACTACTCATCAGCCATGCTGTGGTGGTGACCCACATACAAAATAGAGGACAATTGACACAGATGTTAGCTCAGGGTGAATCTTCCTCAGCAAAAAAAAAAAAAAGTGTAAAAATAGTACAACCCAATCTTGGAGAAGGTTTCTTTTTTGGGGAAGAGGACTTTACTCATAATCCTGTCAGATGAACATATTCCAGTCTTTTTCTATAAAGACAAAATTTTATAAAATAAAAATTACAGAGCTAGACATTTTTAAGAAAACTCAAGTGCTGCTCTTGGTTCAGTCAAAGACTTGCTGACTATCCTCAGGGAAGTCAGTCTGGCTTCGTTTTTGGGAGGAGAGTGTTGCATCCTACGAATGTGATCACTGGAGTCTGTTTCTGTTATGGAGAGTGGTAGAAACCAGACTTTAAGCCTGAATCCTGCTTCCCTGTTTGCTGGATGACCTTGAGAAAGTGTCTTAACCTTTCCGGCTTTGTTTTCTAGCTTTTGTAAGAGAGATTACCGTCACACAATGACAGCATCAGCTTGTTTAACATGTACTGTGCTCAGCCTTGACACGGGCAAAAGCTTTCCAGGGACTCAGGGTGAAATCTCCTCTATGGGGTCTTTGATTGGAATTTGGTTGACTGATTTATACAATTTACAATCGTGGATTGATTGAGACTCTTTGCTAACTATTTTTCTTTATGCTGGTTCCCCAGGTCCTGTCCTCTCTGTGGTGACAGGGGTCATTTACCAGATCATTTTGTCCTCCTATTTTCATTAACTAAGTCACTCAAGCCCACCTAGATCCCAGGAGACCCTGCATAGATGAGGGGGGTGGTAGGAGAGTGAATGGTCCCAGCATAGGGGTGTTCACAGCTGAAGAGAGCCAAGAGTGTGAAACTCCACTCTTCTGCCCTGAGTCATCTTATTAGCTGCTTCGTTTCAAGGAAGGAAGGTTAATTTTGGGTCCCCCTTGGAACATTCAGGGGACTCTTGCCAAATCCAGGATAGCCTTGAGCTATAACCCCATGAGGCTCCTGGATGTGTCTGTGTGTCTGCTTTGGACCAGACCCAAGGCGCTGCCCTGTGCCCTATTCACGGTGAGGGTGAGGGTGGGGGTCAGTGTTTATCTTGGTGGGCCTCACTGGAGCTGGACACTGCTGCTTTGTTGGCTCAGGCTGAAGTATGCCTCTTCTTTTTTAATTGGCCGGAGACTCTCCCTGGGGCACTTGGCCTACCAATGATTTTGGCCTCTTTTGCTCAGGCCCTCTGGGATCATAAGGAGAGCACTATTTCCCCCTGCCTGCCCAAACCAGCAGCAGCCAGTTACGAACTGGCATTCATGGCTGCGCATGGTATCATGCCAAAGGACTAGCTGGTGAACTGGAGGTTCACTTCTCTCCCTAGTGGGACTGAAGCTCCCTGAGCAGGTGGACCTGTTAGAATTTGTACAGTGTGTGCCAAACAACACCAGGCGTAGGAACTAGGCAACCTGCTTGCTGCCTAGCTCAGGCTGGTGAAGCATAGCGGGTGCAAGCAGGCATGTGGGAGTCAGACTGGGTTCAAATTCCGACTCCACTAACATCTGGATGTGTTAACTTAGGCAAATGTGTTTTGGTTTCCTAATCTGTAAAATGGGTATATTTGGGGGGTTTTGACGATATTGTATTGAAGATTCAAAGAGCTAACACATTAGATTGAAAGACACGTAATTGCTGATATTTTAACTATTTTGAACCTATAAACATAACAAAGATTAGCAGAGTGCTTTAAAAACACGACCCAACTGTCTAATATGCTATCTATAAGAAACTCGCTTCAGTGCTCGCTTGGGCAGCACGTATACTAAAATTGGAACAATACAGAGAAGATTAGCATGGCCCTTGAGCAAGGACGACACACAAATTAGTGAAGTGCTCCATAGTTTTCACGCCTCCTGCCCCCACCCCCTATGAGATGAGTGACACCCAAGACCCTGCCAGTGTCCCTGTGGTTGCCACCCAGGTGAAGATGGGGGCTGGAGCTGTCAAGGCATGGGCAGGGGGTCTCTCCGTTCCCGCCAGCACCAGGAGCTCCAGGCCTCCCTCAGCCTTCTGGAGCACAGTTTCCTCCAGGAATTCCTCTCCAAAGCTCCCTGTTTCCAGATTTTGCATAGGTATCTCCTGCCGTGGTGCTGGTCTACTTCCAGCGTGCCAACCTGAAGCTCAGTAACTATATCCACAGCAACCTGTTCTTGGTACTGTACCTTGCAAATGACATGGAGGAGGGCCTGGAGGACTCCAAATGTGTGATTTTCCCGTGGTCCCTGGGCAAAGATTGGTGTCATTGCATGTCAGACTTCCTGCACCAGAGGGTCAAGCTGTGGGCGTGGATGGGCTTCCAGGCTGTTGTGAACCGCCAGTGCTGGGAGGAGGTCATGGCCAAGGAGCCGTCCCACTGAGCCTGGACTTGGGAGCAGTGCCCCCACCATGGCAGAGCTCAGAGGAGCAGTCCAAAGGCCCAGGTTCTCCTCCCCCAAGGCCTTGGCCTCTCACCACCCCACTGTTCCCTCTCTGCCTTGCTCCCTCACCGCAGCCGCTGCTGCCACCACCCCCACCCCTTGCCCTTCCCCAGACCCTGAGTGGCATTACTCTCCCTCCTAAGCCTGTCTCTCAGTGCCTGAAGACCCCTGGAGTAGGGGCTTCCTCATCATCCTGCCCCTGCAGCTGCAACTGGAGCCAGGCACCTACACCCTCCACATTTTCCCAAAGCCTTCACAGTGCTCTGGGCACTGACACTCGCTTGCAGGCTGAAGGGCAGCCTGCTGGCTTGCCCACTGACCCAATGCTCTACTGGCTGTGGCCCCCCTGGCCTCCTGTCATACAGGCCTCAGGCTGGCAGTGCTGCCCATGCCTCCTCCCCCTTCTCCCAACCTGCAAGTTGTCCCCACTCAGACCAGGGCTCCCTCTAATGAACTTGTGTCCACAGGACACCAGCTGTGAAAAAAAAAAAGAAAGTCACTTCAAATATAATGATACAGACATGTTGAAAGAAAAAGGATGAAGAAAGGTATATTATGCAAATATTAACCGATAGAGAGCAAGAGTGGCTATAATAATAGATGTGAAAATTCTCAACAAAATATTAGCAAATAGGCTATAACAATAAAAATTGTACACTACAGCTAAGTAGGATTTATTTCAGGTATGCAAGGGCAGTTCAATATGAAAAATCATATGATCATATTAATTGATGCAGAAAAAGAATTTCACAAAATCCAACACCCACTCATGATAAAAACTCTCAGGAGGTAGGAATAGAGGGGAATTACCTGAACTCTGTAAGAGCATCTAAAAAAATTTACAGCTAACAGCATACTTAATGATGAAATACTGAAGACTTTCTCCTTAAGACTGGGATCAAGGCAAGGATGTCTGCTTGTGACACTCTTATTCAACATAGTACTGGAAGTCTAGCCATTGCAAAAAAAGAAATAAAGGTATACAGATTGGAAAGGAAGAAGTAAAACTAAATTTGAAGTTGACATGATTGCCTACATACACAATCTCAAAAATCTACACAAGAACCCCTCCTAGAACCAATAAGTGGGTTCAGCAAAGTCACAGGATACAAGCTCAACAAGCTCATAGGGTACAAAAATCAGTTGTAGTTTTGTATACTAGCAATGAACATGCAGACACCAAAATTAAAAACACAATGCCATTTATCACTCAAAAATATTTGTGTAAATTTAGTAAAACATGCACAGAACTTGTATGCTGAAAATTTTAAAACCTGAGGAAAGAAATCAAAAGAAGAGCTAAATAAATGGAGAGACATACTATGTTCGTGGATTGGAAGGTTCAATATAGCAAAGATGCCAATTCTCCCCAAATTAATACACAGGTTTAACACAATTCCTATTGAAATCTTAGCAAAAAATTCTTTTTGTGAAAATAGGCCAAATTATTTTAAAATTTAGTTGGACAGGTCAAGGAACTATAATAACTAGAACAATTTTGAAAAGGAACAATAAAGAGTGAGGAATCAGTCTACCCTATTTGAAGACTTGTATTGCTACAGTAATCAAGACTGTGTGGTTCTTTAGATAAAAAGAATAGACACATAGATCAAAGGAAGACAATGGAGAATCCAGAAATAGACCTACATAATTATGCCTCTGTGTGGCTTTATTCTGCAAAACAGCTCTAGACTCAGAGTCAGGAGGCCCAAGTTTAGGTCCCAAGACTACTATTCACTTGCTATGTGGCCGTGGACAAGTGACTTATTCCATTCTAAAAGTCTTTGATTCTCTGGGTCTAAATCACTTACCTTTTCCCATCTCAGTTTCCACTTCTATTTAATGGGGAAACCCTGGCCTCTCTTCCTTGCAACTCTCTGTTTGACAAGGGATGACAAAATGCCTTTCTTTTCTTTTGCATGAAGAATTCTACAAGCTAAAAGAGTGACTACATTGATTGATGTTAATAATAGACCTCAACATCATGAGAACTCAACTGTGTGCACTCAAAGTCAAATTTCAAGAGCTTTAGTATAATTTATTTGTTTGTAATTTGGTTTCTTTCTTCCTGACTAACACCGTCAGTTCTTCATTTGGACTCCTTAAGGGGCATGAGGAGTGGGACTCATTTTTGGGGAGCTGTTTTTAGAGTTCTCTAAGGCCCAAAGTTCTGGCTATTTGATCTTCTGAGAATGTCTCTGAATAAGAGATTTTATAGTAATTTAAGAAATGTTCAAAGATAGATGCTTTGTTTCCCAATAGAACACTTCTGCTTGTGTGGGCAGAAAGATCTTGAAATGATTCAACCAACCAACAACCAACCACCCGAAGAGGATTATACGTAAATTCATGTTGTGTGGATACTGGGAGCTTTGAAAGCCATATACGTGGAACACAGATGCACAGATACACATGTGTGCACACACTCACTCACACACACACACACTCACACACATACAGACTAACAGCACTCTTAGCACCAATGCCACCTTATTTGATTACTACCATAACTTCTCATGGTTAAAAGCAAGCAAGAAAATTTAAAATATATAGATGTCAATAACACCCAGACTTGAACTGGGCCACAAGAACTTTTCCCTCTCAAGCTAGTGAGGCAGTTCAGCTAGTGGTTAGAAGTACAAATTCTAAAGGCAGATTGCCTGGATTGAAATCACAACCTCACCATTTATTAAATGTGATGGTGGACATATTGTTTAACTGCTTCGTGCCTTGGTTTTCTCTTCAGGATAATTAGAGGAATACCTATCTCATAGGACTGCTGTGAAGATTTGAAGAAATAATTTATGCTGAGCTTTTATGCATGAAATACATTTAGAACAGAGCAAATCAGAAATAATTGTGTTCTTTCGTCTAATGTACCAATGGACTGAGACACTCAGGGGCCCTCTGCCTTAAAGTAATTTCTCCATATATCGGTCATGGTGCTGTTGCCACAATACTCTTACCATTATTCATTTCTTTATTTGAGGCACTAAAATACAAATATGTTTCGAGGAGAGTCAGCAGAGTGATTTATAAAGTAGTTTATTAGACTGAGAGGCAGTTTGAAGACCTGGGTGAGGGGCCTGGGTCTAATCCCAGGGCCCCTGTTGACAAGGTATATAATTGTGGACAGGTCAACTGGTGTCCCTGAACCTCATTCTTATCTGTGCACAGAGGAGGCTGAACTGTATGGTGGCTGGTGTCCTTCCAGCTCTAATATCTGAAGAGACAGGATGCTGCATAAATGAAGAGACTGCTTTTATTGACGTAAATACTATGGAAGCTTAATAATAGTATTTATTGAACACTTTTTCTGTAGCAGCCACTTTTCTAAGCACTTTGATCTAGTCAACCCTTGCAGCCATCCTATGAAGAAGGCTTTATCATTATCCCCATTTTATAGAGCTAGAAACTGAAGCAGAGAGAGGCTTAGTGATTTGCTGAAGGTCACGTGGCTATTAAATGGCAGAGCTAGGATTTGTACCCAGATGATGTAGAGTACACACACCAGGCATTCTGTTCAGCACCAGATGGTGTAGGCAAATAGTAACTAAAGAGGGACTGTGTTCTATTCATCTTGTTTCCCCGACAGACCAGTAAGAGTACCTGGAGCTTCCTATAGGTCCTCAATAAACATTTATCATTCTTGTTGTTGGTGATGATGACACAAATTTGTTGGATTAAGTTGATTTCAGCCTCCTGGCCATATTTCGGAAGCTGACCACATTAAGCTCATTTTCTGTTGTTAATGTTATCCACATAAGGTGAAAGTTCCGGTTGGGGGCACAGGAGGCCTCCTGACAGGGTAGAAAGTGGGAAGATATACAGCAAGGAGAAGACAATGAAGCTGCCAGTCTTCGGGCTGTTCTCGTCTCTTCTCCTCCTGCCGCTGTGTTCATTTCACGTCTGGTAAAGTGGTCTTACTATGTTCCTATGAGGCGAGTTGCACTCTCTGATGTCCCTCAAAGGTACCCTAGAAAGGGTGGAAGGAAAAGGAGGCAAGTCACTGCCTGGACCAGGAATACTGACAAAGGCTTGCTCTTTCCTGTGTGCCCAGTAGCCTCTTTGTAAGCTTACGAACAAGTGTGGCCACGATGACCACAAAATGGCACCACTGGTCAGCTTGCTTTGCCAGCCTCTGTAAGTTCGGTGCCAATTATCAGACTCTCCCTAGCGATGTTGAGAGCTCACGCCTTATTTCCAGAAATGACCGTGGTAGATTAGCAATATTGCTTTGTTTTGAGGTTTTAAAAAATTTTGTTTTATTTAATTTTAATATTTAGTTTTAATATTTAATTAATATTTAATTTTAATTTAATATTTATTTTCAGTTCTATATATTATAATCTTTAGAGGTTTTCCCAGCTGTCCTAGGAAAAGAGCTCTGATCTTGCAGCCAGTAGCCCTGGATGTTCTAGTCTTAGT